TATAAGTGTGAAAACAGATATAAGATCCCTTGAAAAATTATATAATGAAACTTGTATGTTTTGGATACTTACTAAAACAATGTATGAAAGTAATGAGAAAGTGGCCACTTTCATGAGTAAATCACATATAAGTTTTTACTATTTCTTTTCCGTATGGGTATGCTCCAAAGGTCAAAGTGTATATCATGGCATCACCTAGAGACTTTGGACTCCATTTTGAAGCCTCAGCATTTGGTCACTTCCATTTTGTTTTTTTTTAGAGTCACAAGTATTTGAAGATGAGGGTAGAGTGCAAAGTTATCTGCTAAAGCTATTGGCTTTGTTAGCAAGCTCCATTAAGTATAGACACACATATCTGTCAATTATTACTAAGCAACAAAACTGATAAAATACCAGAACTTTAATCACCGCTCATCCACGTACCAGGCTAGATTACCTGTTAGATAATTCCATTGCAAATATCGCAACAGCAACAAACAGCAAAAACAATAGAGATATCCAGTTCAGTGACTTGAATTAGCAATGGTGAGACACTGTTTAACTACTTGTCTATAAAAAAAAAAACAAAAAAACAATTAAAACAGGAGTCTATGAGGTTTGACTCACTTTGGGAAGCAGCCTCAAGAGGAACTGTAATTTGTATCCTAATTCTTCAGTCCAGGGGTTACTACTACTTCAAAAGGTAAACTTGTGTTAATAGAATGTGAAAATAATCATGTTAATATTATATGCAATTCATATTGTCCTTCTTTGCCTGCACAGCCGTTGGGGTATCATTTGACTGTTGCTCAAACACCTACCCTGGAACCAAACCAACATCTGAGCCTGAGGCCAAGGCTGTAACTGACTTTGTAGGAAGCCGAAAGGACATCTTCCTGTGTTTCCTCACCATCCACTCCTACGGCCAGCTGATCCTGGTTCCCTATGGACACCCCAACTACACTGCCCCCAATTATAATGAGCTGGTATTTATATCAACAAATATAGTGATGCATTTTTTTACACTTTTCTGAGACACTCTTTATAGCTTGACAATGGTTATATCTGTGTGCATTTACATTAATAAAGAGGATAGCAAGTAAGGAAATGGGTAAATGCACTAGGACATTAAATTCATCCTCATGTGCCAAGAAAGAACAGTGCAGATGAGGTATTGGGTCAAAAATCTGGAGCCAAAATACCAAACTTTGGTTGGTCGTTTAGGGATTCAATTCTTCTAATCTTGTTAGGAATCCAAAACACTCAAAATAAATCACTGATAAAGACTCTCATCTTTCCCAAAGTAGTTCCCAGATTGACAACAAGATGCATGAGATCTTTTAAGTCCTGTAAGTTCCAAAGTGGGGCCTTCAAGAATTGGACTTGTTTGTCAAGCTCATCCCACGGATGCTTGATTGGATTGAGATCTTGGGAATTTGGAGGCAGAGCCCAAACCTCAAACTCATTGTTGTGTTCCTCAAGTAATTCCTGAACCAGTTTTCCATTGTTCTTCCTGAAAGAGGCCAGAGCCACCACGGAATACTGTAACCATAAAATGAAAAGGTGTACACGGCCTGCAACAATACTTAGGTAGGTAGGTAGATAGTACTGTCAGTCCTTCCATCCATGTGGTAGAACCCAAGGTTTCCCAGCAGGAAATTGCATCACACTGCCTCTGTCTGCCTCTGCATCCTGGTGCAACATGACTGGTCTACAGTTATGCCGCCCCATACAAAAGAAACTGTGATGAACCGGGTATTCTGACACCTTTCTATCAGAATCAGCGTTACATTTGTCTAACAATTTGAGCTACAGTAGCTTGTCTGTGGGAGCAGACCAAACAGGCCAGCCTGAAGCCACATGCTTCAGTGAGACTTGGCCACCGATGACCCTGTTGCTGTTTCACCAATGTTTTCTTCTTGGACAACTTTTGATAGATACTGACCACCGCAGACCAGGAACACCTCACAAGAGCTGTAGTTTTAAGATTACCCAGTTGTGTGGCCAGTTACTCAATTACTCACTTAAGCTTGCCCACTTTTCTGCTTCTAACACTTCAATTCTGTGAACAAATTGTTTACTTGATCCCTAATACATTGTACCCACAAACAGGTGCCATGATGAAGAGATAATCACTGCTATTCACTTCACCCATCAGTGAATCGCAGATATATAGAACAGCTACAAGGGTTTAAGTTTTTGCTGTTAAATAAAAGACATATATATATAGCATTCTGACAAGTTTCATTTCATATCAGTCTTGTATAATGGCAGCCTAGTGGGGCAGACATTAGTGTTGTCACACTCATCCCGGTGCCTGGTGACTGGTTCCAGCTTCCTCCCACCCTCCAAAGACATGTAGGTCAAGCTGACTTTAGATATGGGTTAGATAAAGCTTTTAGCGGTCAGTAATATTGTGAATGAGCTAATATAAACACTAATCTGTTTCCAATAGTATGATGTATAATTTTTTTTTAAACTGTATCAAAATAAATTAATGCATTGTCATGTAACCAATTTTCTACTTTAAAAAAAAAAAGAAAAAAGATAGAGTTCATTGTTTTACCTTTACTTTGTGGTACAAAATTGTCAACAGAGCTTTAGGAAAGATCTCTGTAAAATACAAATAAGTACAGCAGTGAAATTCTGCATTACCTCTTAAAAGGTACAAAACTTACTTTGGTTTTGGAGAGTGTATTTTCTGAGATTACATATAATTTTTAAACTCCTGATGCAGATCGTTTGTTGTGATTAAGATGAATCTAGTAGGACCATTTTGATGTGGAACATTTGCAGGTGAAAAATAATCAATCACAATATAAACCATGTGACACCATGTCCCATGCACACTTGTTATTTCAGCCATCCCATACCAGATAATGTAAAGACATTTTTATATGTCTGGCTTTGCTAGATTTTATTTAGCTAGCTGATATTAAAATTACACGACTGAGTCTTAGTTACCAAAAGAAAATATAAAGAAAAATAATGCTCTCTAACTTGCGTTGATGATTCAGTACTTTTAATTGCTTTTAACTGAGTAGAGGCTGGAAAGCAGCCATTATAGATGCATGAAAACTCAAAGTCCACAAAGAACAGTAAATTTTAAGAGGAGTAACAACACAGCTGAACTGATCACAGCCTGTCCAATAAATCTACTGGAGCTTACAGTACAAATTAATTTGGAAGTTTTATTAACACTAGTCTGATTTCAGTATATCTATACTTGGGTATCTTCACTTTCCAAACCCAGCATTAACTTCTGTACAAAAAGGATTAAGATGAACCATAAATCATGCAAAGCTACTCCAGCAGAATCAAAGGATAAACATATAGAATAGGATAAGGGAACAGTAGGTCACAAATACTCATGGAGCACCATAAGTTTTAAAACAGTATTGATTGCCTTATACAGTTAGTGGCATCTCATATCTTTCCTCTGAACTTTTATTAATGAAAACATACACCTCCAGATTCTGTGGACTCATGTTTAAGTGACTGTATGCAAAAATTCCTTTCTAATTCCTCAGATGATGGTCGGAAAGGGTGCAGCAGAAGCAATTTGGAAGGTTCACGGGATGAACTACACTGTAGGAGCCTCGCCTGATGTACTATGTGAGTTTACAAATCAGCTGCTAATTATAATAAAATAAACTGCCCATATCTTTAAATATTATGTTTGAAGGATTTTTAGGTGGTTCAGAAATGTAACTGCTAAACTCTTTCTCCAGACGCCAACTCTGGTTCATCCAGAGACTGGGCTCGAATGCAGGGGATCCCCTTAACCTTTACCTTTGAGCTCAGAGATAACGGGACATACAGCTTCGAGCTTCCTGAAGACCAGATCCAGCCTACCTGTGAGGAGGCCTACAGTGGGGCTCTGCACATCATCACCTATGCCCACGACAAGACCTTTAGCGGTGCTGTAGCCAACGCTGCTGTGACCCTTTGGTCCATACTGTTAGCAGCGGGTGTCACTGGAGCCACCCTCATGTGAGGTGGAGAGCTGTTTGATTTCAGCCATCCTGCTGTATAAGGCACTCATTTTTAGTTCTTCACCTCAAAGTCAGATTTAGAAACAGGATAAGCTTTAAAGATTCAGTATTTGCTGGAAAGAAAAAGAACAGTTAATGTAGAATTCTTGTACTCAAATTTTCTTTTATAATAAATAGAATAGTACTTACAGAGCATCTCCTCAGCAAATGTCCTTTTTCACAAGGTTTAAAGAAAGTGATTCTCCCCAATAATATTAGGACATAAACATTGTGTAAAATGCACTTTTTTCTTGCATTGTTTGTTTGTCAAGGCTAACAAACTGAGAAACTTGAATGCCTTAAATAAAAATACTGGCAGTGGCGAGTGCAACCGCTCAGCCTCCAGTAGCTGCACCTCTGGTATGAATTTCAAAATCCTGCCTTGCCTTTTTCTCAAGTTATTGCATTCACGAGATTTTCACAAAACTTCACTCTGACCTTGAGGTCAGGGTCACTGAGATTTATTGCATTATTTCAGAAAATACAGTATGTACTGTAAAAAAAAAAAAAAAAGACATGTGAGACAACAGCAGTTTTTAAACAGTGTTCCTGTATTATCCTTGTGGATTAACAGTTTTTCATAATATAACTGGAAGTTTCAGGGTCAACTGTCTTTGTTCCTGAATGGTTGAAAGCCTTGTTGCCTCAAGCGGGCCAGTGGCATGAAGAGCTGCTGCTCTGGAGGAAAATCATCCCAGCGTGTCCACGTCCAGCCTGCAAAATGAGAAAGCAACACATTTTGTTTCATCAGCTGCTCACTGGGTGCTTAGTGGAGGTGCTTTCCCCCCACTGAAAAACAGCAGTCCCACTTCACATACCTTCATTTTTGTCTGGTTCCAGGTTTTGTGGCTCTCCTGACTGCCTGTCCAACTCTCCTTGCATGAATATGGTAACATAATGGTACTGTTCCTCCAGCTTGATGGCGTTAACTACTGATGCAAAGTGGGTGTTCACCAAACCCACCCCAGCTTCTTCCAGCACCTCTCTGTGGGCACATTCCTCCCAAGTCTCCCTTTGAATGAAATAAAAAAAAATAACAACATCTTATTTAACATTAGCTAACGTACATTAACGGGCTTCTAAGGCTATTTCAGCTCTTTCTGCCTCCATTGTCTGCATGCATGGGAGTGCAAAAAAAAATTAGCAGCACTCCTGAGTTGTTTTGTTTTCATTTTTATACTGAGAAAATTTAATCTGTTCACAATTTCCAATTTGCCAAAAAAATGTTTTGGTCCAAAGTTTGGATGTATATGGAAGAGAGAGGAATTGCAGAGCAAGCTGGATGAAGTGGTAGAGATTGTGCTCCCAGGCAGGAGGCAAAGAGGAAAACCACAAATATGACTGGTGGCTGTTGTGAAGGAGGATATGCAGAAGGTTGGTATGACAGTAGACGCATTTATGCTCAAACATTGCGTCAGACGTTAAAGTGCAACAAAACATATTGGAAATGGGTCCAGAGACCATTTTTAATTAAATATAACGTAAAAACTATTTGATAAATGAAGCCAAAAACTTAGCAGCAATCATTACATATGTCAAAACTTTTCACCATAAAGTTTTAAGGCAAATCTGAGCTGATCAAGCAGAGAAGAATGCCTCATATATATATATATAGGTATATATATATATACCTCATATATCACAGGTAATGGGATAAAGATGGTGTGGGACCTCTCGTCCCCATATTTCAGCCGGTTAGGGGACGGAACTACACCTGGTTGTCGCACGCCAACCACTTTAATTAAAGAGAAAGAAGAAGAAGAAAACTATGTCAGATTTATGAATGGAGTCTACAACGTCAATGTATACCCGAACTCCAGGTGACCTCCTGGGAGCTGGTATGTCCCTTTTCCCACCGCACTCTTCCGTTTGCCCAAGAGTACACAGCCTGGGTGAGCAGAGTCCGTTACCAGCACCCCGACCCCGACTCCAGGACGTTTAACGACATTATTTGGCATTTGAACGAAACTGAAAAATGGCTCCGAAATGAAAACAAGTTAGTTCAAATCACGCAACACCGCTATGCTACACAGTAGAGAAGCTCTTTGGATGACACAAGAAGCGTCTCCACCTTGTACTTCCGTGTTCGCTTAAAGCAAGCCGTGTCTGTTCTTGAGTTAGCGTTAAGTCGTTTTTGTTCCGTCAATCTGGGTAGCAACAGTGATAAGCCGATATACTACCTTATATTATTAGTTCTATTTATCCGCTTCTTTTTAATTTAGTTAAATAGAAATGACTCGCACATTGTTCACTTTTGTCAACATTCGGCAAGTGGAACGGGTTATTTACAGGCTATTGCTTTAACATGAGTGCAGCACTGCCATCTAGTGAGTGGTTGTGGTTACACTAATAAAAGACCTGAGTTCAGGTAGAAAAGTGTGCAACAGTGGAGATTAGAGGCTCAGAAACGACTTTATTCATGATAAAGTTACAGTTCAGCAGTCTTTATTTTTTTAAAAGATTTCAACTGCCTTCAAATAAATTTCAGTTATTTGAAGGCAAACACAATGCAGAGAAAAGGTCAGGAAGATAATAGTTGGATATGTGCAACAGCAGTTTAAATCCTCATGTGGAGCGGAAAACAAATATATTTAATGGGTTTTTCCGATTATGGTACAGGCTCACACTGTGTTAGCGTTGTAATTACCACTGTTTTTCCAGCATGTAGACATCAATTATGGTGTGAAAAGTCATCAGACTCTGAGCACAAAACATTTATATTAAAGAAAAAAAAATTACTGCCCAAAGATACCCACCACATCCTCTCTCCTGCCTACTGCTGCTTTAGCTGACATGTTCCTCACCCAAAGTTAAGTCTTATTCAAAGATGACCGTGCAAACGTGTCGGGTTGTTTTTTTTTACTTTCCAGTCTGTTCCCGGTGAAAATTTGTTGGTGAGTATTCTTTGTAGTGTCACATTTACTGTCTGCTCAAAAGGAAGTCTGTCATTATCCAGTAAAAGCTTTTGTGAAACTGCAGATTAAAAGGAGTCAGAGCAACCTCCCAAATAAATGAGGCCAAAATAAACAGTGCATAATGGGCAGAAAGGAAGCTGGTTAAAATACACAAATTAGCTGGATTTGGATTTGCACTATTTGTGCCTATTTTCAAGGAGGCTGATGCTGGTAGTGAGACATTTTGGGAAAGTAACTGTGCCCAGTCTTTTGGACAGACACCTGAAAGTTGACTATTTTTTATTGTTTAATTGCAACACCCTCCATCAGATGTGTTCTATAGCTGCTCATGAAACTTGCAGAAAGATGCTGATATATTTTGGACAGTCCTACAAAACTATTTTAGGTTGTCAGTATTTCTCAGATGTCTTAATTGAACATGCCTTATTAGGTCATGCCACAGTGCTTCAGTGGGTTACCCCCTGTATCATTTTTGATACATAGAGATTTTATGTGTTTTTGAGACTTCTACAAGTATCTTTTTTTTTTTTTTTTTTTACTCCCTTGACCTTTCCTTAAAGCTAAACTGACGTGTTGCCTTTCACAAACAAAATATTTCAACAGCAGGTGGGCGGGGCTTCCTAAGATCAGGGGTGGGGGAACTCCAGGCCTCAAGGGCTGGTGTCCTGTGGGTTTTAGATATAATCCTGGGTCAGCACACCTGAATCAGATGATTAGTTCATTACCAGGGCTCTGGAGAACTTCAAGAGGAGGTCATTTAGTCATTTAAATCAGATGTGTTGGATCAAGGACACACCTAAAACCTGCAGGACACCGGCCCTTGAGACCTGGAGTTCCCCAACACTGATGTAAATATTAGAGATATCCATCTCACTGACGTACCCCAGAGGTAACTATGGGGGAAAAAATACTGAAACTGAACAGTCAGCATGAATTTTGCAGGGATTAATTGAATATAACTCATTGTAGACACTTTCTGTGTTCAAAGCTACTCATTGGTTAATGAAAACTTTTACCACACTGTTTTACTAACAAACAATATATTCTGTCCCCAGACAACTTTCAGCTATTCTGACATTTCTATATTTATTTTTTTGATCCTGTAAACATTTAGCAATACAAATAACTTGAATAAGTGATAGCAACGTGAACACTGTAAAAATGTTGAGTCTCAGGTGGACTCGGGGAAGACAGGACTAGCACCGTTGAAATGCAAAGCTCTGGCCTTAATTCAGCATCAGTTGATATCTCAGCAACACACGGATGTCTTGGAAACAAAATTTAAGTGTCTTGCTTTTATTTATAGATGTAGTTCATTTTATAAGATGTTTTAATTCATTTTCTTTTAAAACAAACTTCTACATCTAACATTCTAACTGTATGTACACTCACTGGCAACTTTATTGGTTGCACCTTGCTAGTACCAGGTTGGGCCCTCCATTTGTCTTCAGAATTGCCTTAATAGACCATGACATGGATCCATCCAGGGGCTGGAAAGTCTGGTAATACATGGTACGGCTCATCAACTCTGAAAATCCTCCAGATATTTTGGTCCCTGCTGACATGATAGCATCACACAGTTGCTGCATTCTCTGTATTTCTGTGGCAGAGGTTTTGTTGATTTGTCTGATGATAGGTCAGTTTTTTCTATATTGTAACCACATCTATTCTAATGTTTACCACAAAGCAAGGACTGAATTTTTCAATTCTTCTATACCAATAATAATCTCATTTATCTTGTGGCCGTATAGGGGGACTTAAGCGCAAGGTCATGTACTACTAGACTGAAAAGACTAGAATTAAATAAGAGTAATATGCTGCTTAGAGTTTAATACCTCAGCGTTACAATCTAATAATGTTAAATTGTCCTCATAATAAAGGAATAATCTACTCAATTAGATTTTGCTACTACATGTAGTAATATTTACTTTCATAAAGAGCCCGAATATCTGTGCCATACTTTGTGATGTGCGGATTTGTCCACTCACACCTTTGGTTTCCTGGCATTCCACAGTTTTCCACCGACACTCGTTCTCCCCGCTAGACCTGCCTGGTGGCTCTGGTCCCGCCCAGCTCACCTGAGAGTGACAGACACTTTCCTCCTGTGAACCCAGGCTTCACACTACCTTCTGAATCTCTGGAGCTTGTTCTTCGATTCTTTGCGTGTTTAAAAGTCTCTGACTTGCTAACCATTTTTTTTTCTTTCATTAACAGCATTATGAGTGCAAAGCTGTGGACAGAGGAGCAGTTTAACTGCCCCGTGTGTCTGGATCTGCCAAATGATCCTGTCACCATCCCTTGCGGTCACAGCTACTGCATGGCCTGCATTAAGGACTACTGGACTAAAGATGACCCCAAAGGGATCTACAGCTGCCCTCAGTGCCGTCAGACCTTCTGCCCCAAGCCCTCCCTGTCCAGGAACACCATGCTGGCAGAGGCTGTGGAGCAGCTCCGCAAAGGAGCCCTCAAATCTGAAGTGCGTCAATCCATGCGACTCGCCAAAGAGAAGCTTTCCTCCTCGGTCGTACCATGTGACATGTGCAAAAATGAAAAACGAGCTGCAGTCAAGAGCTGCCTGGTGTGTATGAGCTCCTACTGCGAGGCCCATCTGAAGCCTCACCAGACAAAGAAATCCCTAAAGCAGCATGAGCTCATCCCACCGACAGGCAACCTGGCCGAAAAGATCTGCACCCAGCACAAATACCTGCAGGAGTTCTTCTGCCGACAGTGCAAGATGTTCATCTGCTGGCTGTGCACCAGCAACCAGCACAAAGGCCACGAGAGCGTGTCCACCAAGGTCGAAAGGCTGGAGAAGCAGGTAAACAGAGGATGGGTGCTACATAATGACTGGGGCCAGTCAGACAGTTACCAGGGTGATCTAAAGTAAAATTAAAATGACTGGTTTGGGTGTTGGGAAAAATCTCCATAATTTTGTAAATGGAAGTTTACAGTCAATATTCTATAAATAAAGCATATCCGCCCTTCTCTGTGCTGTCCATTATTGTGTATAAAAGGTTTATTTGAAAGAAGTCAGTTATTTCCTTTTGTGTGCGACGCCGGGTGCAGCCAGGCTGAAGACATTCCTAACAACATTCCTAGCCTAGTCATTCATAATGCTCCACCCTCTCACGTTGTCTTCTGTGCCACCTACACACCTGCTTCCTTGTCTGTGGGATTGTTTCTCTGATCTCGTGTCATGGCGTGCGTCTCTGCAGAAATTGCTGTCCGACCTGCAGTCAGCGAACCAACAGAAGCTGAAAGAGAGAGAGCAGGAGCTGAAAGACATGAAGAAGATGATGGAGCAGATGAAGGTTGGTCAGCGGTAGACAATTTGTTTTTTTGTTTTTGTTTTTTTAATGGAAAACAGGTTTTCTTAATTAGTTTTGTGTTTTCCTTGTGTGCGCAGTGTTCTGCTGATGTGGTGCACAATGAAGCGGAGCAGGTGCTGTCGGAGCTGCTGCACTCCATGGAACGTCTTCAGGAGCTGCTGGAGGAGGTGATGGATCAGGCCAACCAGGAGAAGATGGGCCATGCACAAGAAGTTACAGATAGTCTGGAGGCTGAGATCAAGGAGCTGAAGAAAAGGGACACTGAGATGAAGGACCTGGCAAGCTGCGAAGACAACATCTACTATCTGCAGGTAGGCCGGACTGTGAAGCTCACTGAGTGGAAATATTGATCATGGACACAGCAGTGATTGCTTATTCTTTACACGTCTTATGACAGAAGGATAACAGCAAGAGTGTTAGGGAAAGTTTACTAGATGGTAATGAAACCTTTGGAGACAATGGCACTGTGGAAACGCTAAGGTTTTTGTTGAGAGTGACATCACATTGAGCATTTTGGAGACAAAATTAGAGCGACATGGTTAAGGTGCAAAGGCGACAGTGGATATTTTGAATTTTGAAGGATGTTAAATGGAGAGTTTGAGGCAGGTGGAAAAGAGGAAGACCACAGAGCAGGATATACAGTCATTTTTTTCTGAATCTCAAGACTCCTGATATCCTGATTAAATAATTTTTGTTGTGTTTTTTAACTAACTGCCATGTTTCCTCAGACGTACGAGTCTATGTGCAGTCCTCTTGAGTCTGGGGATCTGCCAGCTGTGAAAGTCAATCACGAGGCTTCCTTTGAGCCTGTACGAGATACCATCCTAGGTCTCAAGGAGCGAGTGGAAGATCTATGCAACCAGGAGCTGGGCAAGATCACTAAACAAGGTCTGTCCAAAGAGGCCTTTTGTTCTTATTCTGTCTTATTTTGTACCTCATTTAATGTAATTATCTGTGTTCTTTTAAAGTGAATGACACAACACTGTTCGCTCTGGGAGACTGTAAGTTCCAGGCATTGTTTATAGTTCGTTTTTGTTTTTTTCCAGCGTAATTATTAATGCATTCAAGTTTAGTGTGTTTTTTTTGTTTGTTTTTTTAATTGAACTTCTTCTAATCTTAGCCAACCGAAGCGGACAGAAAGGAGGGATTTTAAAATGTAAGGTTTGAATTTTCTTATTAAATCCAAATAAACGTTTTCACATTTTGCATGATGTTGGCAGAAAGATACCAATTTTCCTTTTTCTCTAGTGTTTTCTGGTCTCAGTGCCCGCAACACAAACGCCCGTCCACAGGGTATGTTTGGTGGTTTTTTTTCTGACCACATTTTGTCTACCATGACTGCATATTTACATCTTGTCGTCCAATCTTGTTTAAATATTTGAAATAATTTGTAATTTCATTCTTTTTCTACAGCTTCTACACCCACTATCTCAATTGGAGGGCGAAGTACAGACAAACGAGGACTTGGTACTGTACTCTGATGATTGTTAAGCTTCATTTGACAACGTACAAAGGATTTCCCTGACATTGTCACTTTTTTTTATTCAGGTATAGGACTCAGGACTCAAGATGTGAGGAGCAGAGACACAGCACGAGGTGAGAGTTTGTATTTGTGCCGCTGTTTAAGCATTAATTTAAATTTCGCTCACAGCAGGGATAAAGTAGAGAAAAGTTTGTTTCAAAAGTCAGTTTCTTCCTTGGTTTTTAGACAGAGCTAACACAAGCTCACCCAGACTGCAGGACAAACAGAGGAGAGAAGACAGAGATGCATGTGAGTTGACACTGGCATTAATATCATCACCCTTCATGACAGTAATCTGGTTTTTACTTCCTACTGCAAGGTGTTTTTTCTGCTTAAATGATAGTTCTTCCTTATTTTTAGTCAAGGCACATTGTCTTGAGTTACTCGACATTTGCATTTTCTGTGGCTCAGTTTCTCTTTATTTGAGTCACTGGGCTAACAGTATTCTCACTTAGGCAGAGGGTGGCTGTCTACAGGTCAGTCCTGGGTGGTGGTTCTTCTGCTGCTTAATCTTGCTAGCAGCACACCGTCATCTGCACCTGTTCTATGCTAAAGGCAGATAGCGTGTACGCATTGCGATTGCCACACACAGAGCTATGCAGATGACACTCAATTATACATACTTATTACACAGGGAGCACTTTCTTATTAGACTGGAAAAGCATTATACTAAATGCCAGTCCATTTCCATTAAGCCTCATCCACAGTGACTTGGATGTCAGGTATGACTTTGTAGCTGCTTTGTTGCTAACAGGAAGACATTCATACGCTAATACAGTAAATCTGGTGAACAGAGTACATCGGCTAAACATCAGTGTGTTGATATTCTCATTGTAACACATGTAAATCTATTTCATGTTGCACCATGAACGCGTTAGTAATTGTGAGGTGGGCCTTCTGCTGTTGAAAGACACAAAACTATTGTTGAAACTCAAACAGAACTTAAACAGTTTGTATTCAATTGCATTTAAGAAATATATATAACAGTAGTTATATTTAAGGATGTCTGATTACTCAGGCCTCACTACGTACCTTTACTTCAGTCTTTTCTTTTTTCATTTTCAATGTCAGTTTTAATTCTTGAACTATAATCATTTGCGTGATTTTTAGATTCCTAAAAGTCTTTTTTTGTCCTTTGTGTTGACATTCATTGTATCCACTGCCTAATGACACTATTTTAGCTTTCATTCCTATCCCCTTTTTAAAATTGGGGGGCCTTAAATGGCCATGTCAGCGATATCAGCTCTCATAGTCTCTTTGCTCATACAAAACTTTGAAACTTTGTCCATGTTTAATATGACCATACCCCATTGTAACAAACAGAAAACAGGGAAAGATATAATGGTCACCTTTAAGTGACATTCTAAGATGAGACGTTTTTTATAACAAAGAAGCACTAGTGACTAATATTAAATCTCAGTGTAAACTCTGGACTCTGTGACCACTGTGAACATATTTGAAGTGACGTTAAATCGGTTGTGCATGAAGTACCATAGATAACCGATAAAAGCAGATGATGTTCTGATACCATACTGATGTTGTCACCAATCACTTATATTTGCCATAGACACTTTACATTTTGATTTAAAGTTTATGTAAACACTTAATTTTCGTATGGCTTCGATAAATTAAACTCAATTTTATTCCATGTGTCTTCCAAAAAGTGAGGGAGCCTAACCCCAGAGCCAGCACCAGATCCAACATCAGCATCGGGTCCAGCATCAGCCACAGACTGAGCCCCAGAGCTAGCCCCACCCCCAGCCGCAGAGAAACTCAGTCACTCTGGAGTAGGTCTAGCCAGAGCCAGGCCACAACTCCTACTCCAGTCCCAGCCAGCCTCACTCCTGCTCCTACGCCTGCTCCTGCTCCTGCTCCAGCACGGGCATCTACTGGACGTATGTTTGGATTGTTTCCATTTTCTGTCACCCGCTTTCAAAAATAAGTTTTCAAAAATTAATAATAATATTAATACAGCTTTGACAAACACTATGACATGGATTTGACATCTGATTCATGGTATTCTCAGATTTTAGTCGAATGGCGTCGATCAGCAGCATCTTCCGCTCCAATCGCCGTGGCACCAGCCAGGCTACTCCAGCCGCACAGGCCAGCAACACACCGTCCGCAGGAGGAAATCCATGTAGGACCTGACTCCAACAACACTCATACTCTCTTTGCAATCTCAGTAACCAAACCATTAAGTGACTAGTAGATGGGGTGTTTCTGAAGAAAAGATGAAAAAGTGGTTAACATGGTTACATTAAAAAGTTCACTTTTTATAAAAGAGGTTCAAATTAAAGTAAAAGTAGTTCAAGTGTCAGTTTAAATGACGCTTCGTTTCAGTTTAGGCTTTGATAGGTTTTGGTGTTGATCATGAAAATGAAGGAAGACATAAATGTCAGTGCTGAATAAAGCTGAAGTGTCAGTTTGAGTTAGAAAAAAGTGCAAGCAACAAGTGAAGCTGGGAATCAGCTGAAGTAAAAGTGCTGAAAAAGTCGATCATTTAAATAGTTTAGTTGCAGTGACATTGAAGTGTAGAGAATAAAGCAAGCTGGATGAGAGGAAGAAAAGGAGTTACAGATCGCTGTGTACTTTACAGGACAGTGAGTGGAAGTGTCAGCTGATGTGTAAAAACTGAAAGTTGGAGCAAGTGTTGTTCAAAGGAGGAAGCCTGAAATGTTTTGAAGTCGAGGTGTGAGGAGTTGGAATGACGGCATGAATATCGTTTAGCATGTAAGCAGTGAAAGCATTGAAACATCTGTTGATGTTGAAAGATCCGAAACTCAGTACCAGTAATAAGGGGGGAAGAATCTTGCTGTTTTATGGTTATTTTTCTGCCTTTGCTTTTGTGGGAAACAAGATGATGATGATGATGATGATGATGATGATGATGAATGAGAAGTTGGCTAAGTGCTAGATATTTATAAGTTATTAGATGGTTTTACATTTAAATAGACAGCTTTGACTTCTAGTTGAAGTGTTTACTGACTGAAGCACTCAAGAGCAATTAGTGACATTAACAGAAGCAATCACTCTGTCTCTGCATTCAACAGGGGGCATGGCTGAGCTGTCTGAAACTCCCACAGAAAGTAAGAAGATTGCCCTTCTATATATAACATGAATGTATTGTCCCATCAACTGTTCAACCAGTTGAATAAGTTAAGCAATATGCGTTTCAGTGACGTCATTAATGCTGTTTTCTCATTGGTCAGTTAACCCCGGTCTCTTTTTGGATACGCCCACTCCGGACTCCATGACTCACGCTCCGGCTTTCCCCGCCTGTGAGTCATTCAAGCTTTAGTCATTTTGGTATTGAGAGAAGAAACATAAATGGAAATCAAACTATTTGATGTACAGTGTAAAAAAAAAAAAAAAGATGCATTTAATTTTTTTTGTTGTTGTTGTTGTTTTTTTACAGTGAGAGAAATCAGCCTTGACAGTATTCAAGCCCCGGAGCCGAGGACTAGAGAGGAGTTCCTGCAGTGTAAGTCTGTACAAAATGACAGATCTAAGCACAAACTGGGACCACAAACTGTCACTTTTTAACCATTCAGTCAGTTTATTCATTCAGTCACAACATACTACACAGACCATACAAATAATATAGGATCAGATATAGGTCTCATATATAGGTCTGGCCTGGGTTCATATCATTAAAAGTACCATATGTTCCAAGAAGAGGGGGGGGAAAGTAATGACAACAACAAGCAGATAAACAATATTCTTAAATGAAACCTTCAAAAACATATTTCTCGAGCATTCATTGAAGGCCAAAACTCAGTTACACATTTTTGTTCTCATATAAAAATCTTTTGTTTTGTATATAAGTGAACTGTAGTCACATAGATGAAGAACTCCTAATGACTGTGATGTTTTTCCTTTAATATAATGAGCATGTTACCAGGTGAATTTGTGATCAGTCACAACATTGAAGCATTTTTAAAGACAATGAGCTGCTTAGGGTGCTGTTAGTGAGAAATATACTGTAGTATCATATTATATAATAAACTCAAGGTATTCATGTATAGTTATTTAGTATCCATTACCATTATTTTATTAAACATCTGTCATGCTACCTTAAAATTAACACTGCCCAGAGAGTGAGCCAGCTTGGAGGAGGTTTGTGCTCTCGGAGGGCATCTTGTTCCACTGTAGTGTATCAGAACATAGATGTTGACGTACAGAATTGGCCGTGATGTCATGATAAGTTGTCAAAATATTTTGTCTTTGAAATGTCTTTCCTAGACTCAGTGAGCTTGACCCTCGACTCCAACACGGCCCACAGGCAGCTGACGCTCTCTGAGAACAACACTAAAGCCGCCCTGCAGGGGACAGCCCAGCTTTACCCCGACAGCCCCCAGCGTTTTGATGGCTGGACCCAGGTGATGTGTGACAGTCCGCTGTATGCCCAACGCTGCTACTGGGAGGTGGAGTGGAGAGGCCGGGGCTCCTCAACCGGCATAGCTTACGGGGCGATGGCCAGGAAGGGCTCGGACGCCAGGTCAGGCCTCGGATACAATGCCCAGTCCTGGACCCTGGAGCTGTCGGACACCTGCTGCACAGCCATGCATGACAATCAGAAAACGGACATTCCGGTCGTGTACTGCCCCCGTGTGGGCATTTACCTGGACCTGTCCGCGGGAACGCTGTCGTTCTACAGCGTCGCAGAGAGCATGACCCACCTCCACACCTTCCGAGCCAACTTTACGCAGCCGCTTTATGCCACCTTCTGGGTGGGGAGCGGAATCGGGGTTGGGCTAGACTTCAGTTCAAGTTCTGAGAGCATCAAGATCTGCCCCCTGTGAAGACCAGAGAGTTGGTAATTCACTGACTGACTTCAGAGCTGAACACAGGAAAAACGCAAGTGTTCCTGCTGATTGTTAGAATGACACACTGACTGAAATTATTTGCAAAGTCATCTATAAATATATGTATATGTGTACATAGCTTAAATGCACTTAGTTAGCTTCCACTATTCACAAAAAACAAAGAGTGCACTGTTTTTAGCAAACAGGAGATTTCAATGCCACAGATTTTGGGTTGAGGCTGTCACAATATCAGACTGCATAGTTATCATGGTGCTGATGCCATGTCTTCTATAGAAAGAGAAAATAATCTTTAACTTTATTTATTCCACTTTTGTATTTAGTTTTGTTTTGTTTTTTGGGGGGGATCAAGATGTTTGGGTAACCAGGTGGGTGCAGGTGGTGGTTATGACTGAGATATCAAATGAGTAAATGTCATTATCAGAATGTAAAAAGCATCAGCAAAGTGTATAAGGGCTAAAATATTTTTTGAAAGATGGTATTTCGATGTTGTGCCTAATAAAGAAAGTAATAATAATGCTTGACTGAAGTGTGATGAACAAATGCCACTGATATGTGCATATGTGGATATCTGGCACAGGACACGGTGCTGCCTGTTAACAAAGTACCAACTGCACTTCAAGCATGCAAAAAGTCGTTTATCTAATGTAGTCAGCCATCTCCTCCTGGTGTATGACCTTTTGTGTTTTGGGTTGTTTGTTTGTTTTATAAGGCATGTTGGTTACTACTATTGCAGTTCTTCTAATGGCCACTTAAGACTGGTTTCAAAAGTAAGTCAATCCACATGTACATTCATGTTAAAATGTCCCAATTTGATTGTTTGTTTTTTTAAATATAACTCTTCCATTTGGGAACTACTAAGGCTTGGAGTTAGGGACGTGGTTGCTTTGAATTACAGGTGAAAGAGAATCAGGTGCTATATTTATCCCATATTGGCTTTTCTTCATTGGCTTCCTGTTTATCCAGAATCAAATTTTAAATCCTTCTCCTCACATAGTCTTGTCTTGTATAATCAGGTCCCATCTTATATTAAAAACCTTGTTCTACCATATCAGCACTTTGTTCTCAGACGGCTAGCTAACTTTGCAGAGTATTTAAAACTAGGATGAGCGGCAGAGCCTTCAGCTTTCAGGCCTTTCTTCTGTGTAGCCAGCTCCCAGTTTGGATTTGGGAGACAGATGCTTTCTTTACTTCTAAGACTTTTTAAAAACTTTGTTTTAATAAAGCATAAAGTTGGCACTGGATAAGGTCACCATGAATCCTCATTTAGCTCTGCATTTACTCAATATGTATTATTACTCTGGCTCCCTTCCACAGCCCGTCTCCCTCACCTCACCATCTGCCAGTTGTGTCAGATGGTGAGGTGTTAACTAAGCAAGTTAGCATTAGCTTAGCACTTTAGTCTCTCTTCCAAATACGGTCATTAACCCAACTGTCTTTTATGTACAGTCTATGGAATCCACTGAAGCTAGACGGCAGTCTTAAAAAAAAAAAAATCAAACATTTTAGTCCCAAACTTTTAATATCCCATAACTAACAGAGAGATTGTCACGAAATTTGCAATAGAATTAGTGTATTGCATACAGTGGACTGAATTTACACCCAACTGCAAACCATTTGTCTGGAAATTAGGTCAACTTCCATCAAATCATAACAAAACAGTGAGACGGGCAATATATATATTTTTTTATTTATTTAAAAAGATAGACATGAATAATAGGCATGAGACATGAAGGAATCGCAGGACATTTTCTCTTATAGCCAGAGAACCTCCTGCTTCAAGGGGATGGAAGTTATCCAACTTTATGAATGTACCTTCCTTCCCCTCTGCAGTCCTGCTCTCCTATTAAACATTCAGCTGAAGCTCTTGTTGCCCTTTAAAGCGTTATTGTTAATTAGCTGCTAAATGCATCACAAACACATGTATAAGCCAGAATATTCAAAATTAAATATAATACTGAGTTTGGATTCCCTTCATGTGAAAAGCACAACAAAATGCTACTTATCCAAATTTTTATGGAAAGATGTTAGCTGATATTGTTACAACATTCACAATTATGCTAAATGTCTCTTATTTATGTAGATCAAACTCTTTCATCAATAAAATAAAGGTTAAACACAAAAAACTAAAAGTGCAGTTACTGGAGATGGGGGGCGGGGCAAGGTCTGGTTGGGAACAATAGCACTGAAGGGTCACAGGGATAAAGCACAAAGCTCTAAGTTTCCTTATTTTTAATGCTATAGCCTGTCACATGTACAGAACGATGTCAGATGTTTTCCTACAGAACACTACCACCTGCTGGCCGACAAACTGTATACATCCATGAGATAAAGGAGAAACATATTTTGATCAAATCTTGATCAAATCTGAATTAGGTTAACAGCTAAAATAATAAGTGAGTGTTTTTATTCCCTCTTTACAGCCCAAACCTGAACATCTATTGTCAAAGCAAGCAGTGACCCTTAAACCTCTTAATCCCACTAAGTGCAACTCATGTCCAAATACAGCTTAAAAAAGGAACTCAAACTAGAGTAGTGCTAGTTTCCACATACGGCCTCATACCATTAAAAACACACAAACATAAACACGCACGCACACGCAAAACACAAAGACCTGAAGGAAAACTTTCACCCTATTTGTTTTTTTGCCTGATGTCCCATTTGGTTTTGTCTTTGCCTTCATCCTAACTGTCTGCCAACAGGTGCATGCTGGGACCAGCAGACAAGGTGGTGTTCATGCAGGCGTTGGGCATGGTGCATGGACGGTCACTGGACATCCGTGCAACACTGTAAAACTGTTACAATAATACTGGCATGTTCAGCTGCTAAACCAGCGAGTGGTTGAAGTCTCCAAGCTTGTCCTCCTACCTGTATGTATGAAGAAAGCAACTGCTACGCTATGAACTAGCAGGATGTTGTTCTATAACTGAGAAGCCCTTAAAACAGCAAGACCCCAGAAGCCCCCCTACCCCCTCTCCCTTATTTTCTTCTTCTTTCATGTTTTAGGGTTTCCGCCAGTGTATTACAAGCTCCTTAAACACCAGATATTTTTGTTTTTACACAACAGCTACATATATTAATTTAGCTAATACGTCATTAGCCTACTGTTACTGTTAACCACTTTACACACATAAGACCAGCCTGAAAAAAGTTGTTCAAATTGAATAGTTTTGCTTTCTAGTTGGTATCCATCCACTTATGTCCACTAATAACAGAACTGCTAGGCTTTTTTACTGTATGCAAATGATGTTTAGCATGATTGGTGCTCTCGCTTTTAAAAGCTGGAAAGCCAAAAATAAACTCTACAGTCTCTCGTTACCTGTTGTGTGCACAGGTGTGTCACAGCTGGTCAATGGGAAACGGTGTGTTTCCTTTTAATCCTACTGTACACAAAGTGCTTGCAATTCAACTACGGCTGCAGCAGGGGGCGCTCATGGCACAGTCCTTAATGAATAGGAATGAATGCAGGTAATGCCAAAATAATTGTTTGTAGTCAAAATTATGACTACAAACAAAATTATGCACATGTATAGGGCTGCCACAAATGATTATTTTGATAGTCACCGATTATTTTTGCGATTAGTCGACTAATCAGATCATCATCCATTGGACGTAAAACGTACAGTTTATTGCACCAGCAGCATCTGCTCTTATATAACTATCATTAGCTTATAGCTTGGAGTGTTTAAGGTATGTGCTAACTAAAAATAAAGACAAGATGATAGTTTATTAAATTTTAATGAAATTTGCAGATTGTTTCGGTGGAGTTTAATAAACTCCTTGCTATCTAAAATATAACAGGACACCGGAGTATATTCTCGAGCATCTCACACTTCTGATAATCAGCTGTCTGCCTGATGTTTATTCAGCTGTGTAAAAACTTTAATCTCAGCCAAACCGATTTACTCAGGAACAAATAAAATACTAAAAAAAGCCAAACAATAACATTTTTAAGTTATCTAAGTGACTTGTATATGTTTAACCTGAGTAGCGAAAGACGGCGGTGGGTTTGAAAACGATTTGCCGGGAGTCCGGTGTTCTCACGGCTCTAGTGAGCCTTGCCCCCGGCTAGCTAGAGCTGTTGGGTAACAGACGTCTCCAAAAACGTCGGAGCACTTTTGAAAGTATGTGGTGTCTTAATAAACTGAGCAGATATTTGAGGTTTACACAGCTACATTCTCGCCTCAAAATATGTTAAACTTTATTTTGTGACCCAGAAATAATAAGAGTAATATTAAAACTAACTAGCTGTTGCCATTGTTGACAAGTGCGCTGGGCCGCACTATGAATTATGGGACACAGCTTCTTCTTCGGGGTTTAACGGCAGCTGGCATCCTTGTACATGCAGTGCTGCCATCTTCCGTTTCAGTCCGTTATTACACTCTTAAATCCTGCTACTTATTCCTGCGTCTTTTGTGATCTTACAAAGCTTCAAACGATGCGTCGACTATTAAATTAGTCGTCGACAATTTTAATAGTCGACGTAATCGTGACTAGTCGACTAATCGTGGCAGCCCTACACATGTATGTTTAAACTTTTGCACACAATATTGTTAATATGTACAAACTGAATCGAACTGAACAAATTTACGACTGTTTGTTTTGTTTTTTTACAGTAAAGCTAATTTTGCCCATAGCATTCTTCTAGTGTATGCTAATGGGTCGTTAACCGAAACTTATCAATTACCAAGTTTGTACAGTTATACCTTTATTACAACAATATAGATTTTCTGAACATTTTTTAATGACAATTGTGAGAGAAAAATGCCTGCTTTCCAGCCTGGGCTACTTGAACCCCCTATGTTAACTGATATGGCGGAAACCCCGTCTTCTGACATAAACATACTGACACCCTTTTCGCCCTTCTTTCACTTCTTCCTTTACTTTTCTCTAATCAACTTCCACAAACCTTCGTACACTTACATTTTCCTTTCTTGCCCTTCTCTACCCGTGCCTAACATCTAGAGCCTCACTGGAGAACTACTGAGTCTATTTAATATAAGACTGAGAAGAGGATGACCCACTCAGACGCAAGCTAAGGCCTTTTTAACTATCAGCATGGCAGACATCCACATACACAGAAAATGCAGGGTGGCTAAAAACAGTCAGTATCATTAAATTGTGCTTTAAAATTAAGTTCCAAAAAAGGACGGATTGTTCTGCCCACCGCTGCCCTGACTTCTCTCTCCAAAGGAAGAAAGGAGGAGAGATGTGGTGGAGGAATAAAGGAGGGGACTGATGTTCTGTTAAGTTCAACGTTTGGCCGAACTTGGGTAGGAGATAGAGGCAAGATGCCGCCGTCTTTCTTTTAGGTTCCCCCATGGAGGTGGGGGGATAGCCAGGGTCCTGGGGTGAGGAGGAGGAGCTGAGTGACCGGCTGACTTTCCAGCTCGGGCACCAATCATAGCCGGGAGGCTCTGGTTGCGCCTCAGGCCATCTAAAAGGCTCCCTCCACCTGCTGACACAAATGTGGCAGAATCCTGGCGTGGCATTGAAGCATCAGACTCAGAACCATGCAACACCTTAGTGAATCCCAGCTGCCGGAGCTTCTCCACCAAACCAACACTGGCCGGGTCGGGCCTGGATCTGCCTGATTTGGCGGATGAGATGAGGGCTGGGGTTTCTTGGGATGGGCTTGGTAGGTCAGGATGTGGAGCGCGGCCCAGGTTTAACCCGTAAACGTCTTGGAGAAAAAGCTCTGCGGGCCGCGAGGCCAGGAAATTGTCAGCTGGGTGTTGGCGGGGCTCTGTAGGCACTGGGGAAGGGGCAGGAGAGTGGGAGGGGGAGTTGGGGGGCGTGCTTGGCAGAAGCTGGAAGAGGGGCTGCCAGGGGGCGGGTCTCGGGGTTGGAGGAGGGTTGGAGACTTGTGCAGAAATACCCCTCTCTAGGACCAGCTTGGTCAGGCCACTGGGGGGTGCAGGCAGACGTCGAGGGGGGAAAGAGTCACCCAGACTGAGTCTGCAGGGAGTCACAGGGGTGCTGGGACCCGTCCTCATGGAGCTAGGCGTGTTCGCCATGTGGGATGACTGAGAACTGAAAGCAAGAAAAGGAGAGTCTGTGTTAGAACAATAACAGTGTTTATGGGATGCTTATTTTCTTGAAGAGGACTCACCTTGGGGTGACCTGTGTGATGTCACACGGGTGCAGAATGCGGCAGGTAGTGAAGGTGTAGGTGGAAAAGGTGGAGCTCTGACACTTCCCTGGGTTTTGGACTGAACAAAGAAGAAAACTTCAGAAAACCAAACGCGCGCACCTTGGAAATGATGAGCAATAACAAGCTACAAATAGTGATTTTTACCAGAGGAAGATACTGCCGTCGATGTCAAGGTTTGGCTTTGTGATTGGACTCCTGCTCCAGAGGCTCCTGGAATGGGCTGAGGCGATTGGCCGGGTTTCTCTGTGGCATGAAGGGGTGTAGAGCAGATGTCTAACCTGATGGAGGAGGAAGCAGCTGGACTCCCAGTGGAGAGCGGCGGCACTGGGACAGATGATACCGCATGCTTTCTGTCCTTTTTCTCCTCGGGTGTAGATGAGCAGCGCACGTTAAAGGTGATTCCGCCTTCCTCCTCCTCATCTTCCTCCTCCTTACTCCGCTCTGCTGCTCCTTTCTCCAGGATACCATTCCTTCTGTTTTCTTCATCTTCTTCATCCTCCTCCATGTCAGACAGGTGGTACACAGCGTCCTGAGCCAATGGGCGAAAACCTTTAGTCACTACTCCAGGGTGTGGGTCCAGGATGGTTCCCAGGTGAGGTTTGGCCAGCTGCTGCCAGTGGTGCAGTGTCAGCGAGCCTGAGAAAGAAATGTCAGCATGTGTTACTGCATACTCTGCATTTTGCATTTAATTATTAGTTATTAATAATCTCTGGCTCTCTTCCACTGCATGTCCTTGTCCTGTCTTCCTCCCCTCACCCCAACCAACCTCAGCAGATGACCACCTCTCCCTGAGCCTGGTTCTGCTGGAGGTTTCTTTAATTGGATTACATCACCTTGTAGTAAAGGATAACCTTCGAGGTGTCAACAAAGCAAACATTACCTTCCATGGGTTTGACAATCTGGAGCTTCTCAGGCAGGAAAGTCTTAAAAACAGTGGAGGCGATGGAGAGATCCGACAGGTTGGAGAAAGACGAGACTGCACTGCCCATTGGTGAGCTGCAGCAACTGCCTTCTCCTTCCACCTCCGCCAGGGCCTGCACCTTCTTTTCCCGCTCCGCCTGGAAGAACTGTCGCTCGGACAGGAAGTTCTGACGGCGCAATGACAGGCGGTGGAGTGCTCTAGTGAGATCGTTTCCTCCCGGACAACCAGGCTGGCCCACTCGGCCCTCCTCCCTGCAAAACATGCATGTTATGACCTGAAATCGAGCATAAATCTCTTCCAAAACAGAAAATGCTCTTTGAAACTTACCCCTGTGTGGACTGAAACGGCTGCGCTGTCATCACCAGAGAGCTCTGTCCGGAGCCAGGGATTGGTGGGTTTGCTGAAGCTGATCGTAGTACTGAGGCATTAACAGAGCGGACTGTTTGGAAGACTCGCTTCTGGGAAATTCTATAGGAAAATGAGGTGAAAGGTCAGAGACTAGACCTAAAATATAATGCAGACACCTAAACTTTTCAAACCCATGAAAAGTCTGGAAAAAAGTACGAGTTCTCCAACACCAACTGTCATCCTCAGCAGCAAACACATTCTGCAGCTTTTAACCTTTGGTCCTGAAAGGCGGTCTCCTCCTCTATACTCAGCTCCTTCCTCATAGTTCCCTCAATCTCTGCTGCCAAGGATTCCTGTAAAAACAGGACACATACGGAGGATTAAAAGTATGCTGTGGATTCAACAAAAGTAATGTTTACAGTCACTGTTCAGTTTAATTCATCCAAGCCTAAAAAATAAATGCACACAGGCCAAAAACTGCAGCTCCTCAAGTGGCCACTTCAGGCTGGCTCCCAAAAGCAAGCCAATATCAGCACGCCCCAGGGCAGCTGTGGCTACAGTGTAGCTTGCCATCACCAGTGTGTGAATGTGTGTGTGAATGTGTGGATGACTGAATGTAGTGTAAAGCGCTTTACAAATACAGGCCATTTATCATTTACATTTACCAATATCCTACAGACTCCCACATTATACTCAACAAAAACTTTAAAGAATATGTCTAAAGCCAGATACGTTACCTCCTTAAACCCTTAAAGCCTGAAATATGAAATGTGTTGTGCAGTTTATTTAGGTTTTTTAAGGGTAAAAGAAAAATCTCACCGATGTTGTAGAACTCAAAAAGTCACAAAAAACTTTATGTAGCAAATACAACACACTGGGTGTTAAAGGGTTAATAGCAGCTGTATGATGCCTTGTGAACACATGTGCCAGGGACTGTATCTTCCTCTGTGTGCTCCAAATAAAAGTTCAAGGGTGCGTTTCTCTCACCATGGGGTAGAGGCCGTAGGGAAGGTGCCGGCGCATCCCAGCTGAGGGGCTGTTTTTACTGCGCAGCTCTTTGATCTCCTCCTGCGACTCATGGAGCATCTCTACACACTCAGCATTCCTCTCGGCCAGCTCGTTGAGCTGCAGCAGACACGTGCAAATAATAATTAATTAAGCAAAGAAATTATTTCAAGAGTAATTAAAATGAATGATGTGTTCAGAGCGTATTTTACTGGATTACTGGATTTATAGAATTAGTATAATCACTGATGAAATGGTAATTTCTCTCAGTAGGCAGGTTGGTAGATTTATGTATGGCAGTAATTCCCAAAGTGTAGGCTCGGGCAAAATTACTCACAAGTTTGTATATTTATATGAATTTATTTAAAAAAAGTAAAATAAAACTGGGAATAGGAGGTGGTTAGTTTGTGATATTTCTCAATACTCTGACCTAAATTTTCTGTTTATGCTAAATTTTATGTTTATGTTTTTAGGACACAGTTTTTAGGGAAACGCATCATTTTCCCTTGTATTAGGAATGATGTTAGGAATGAAAATCAGATCAGACTGACAGATTTGACAACGTTAAAGCTCTAAATTGCTGTAAACCGGCTCCAACACAAACCATAAGTGTGGTTTCTTACAAAGGCTTGACATAAAAGCTACAAACCTACATTATATGATCACATTTGCATCTTTGTAGAATAATTAAACTGGTCTTGCTCTAAAAAGGAACTTGAACACTCGTATGAGACTGTACCTCTGCTGTGAGCTGTCTCTGAGCATCTTTGGAGGCCTGCAGGTGGATCCTGAGCTCCTCTTTCTCCAGAGCCAGCTGGAGATAAACAGCATCACACCAAGAGCGTTCACACACTGTGCCAGCATCTACAGTAGGTAATCAGTGCTAGCAGTTAAGCTTGCCCACCTCCTTCACTCTGTGTTGCAGCTCGACTATTTGGGAAAGCAGCTGAGCGATTTCCTCCTGGTGTCTGAGCAGCTCCTCGTTCTTCTGAGATAGATCTTCAGTCAACGAAACCATCTGGCTGTTGGACTCGCCTGACCCCACGTGTGATATACACAAACACACCAAAGATTAAATTCAGATGCCTGATCTGTAAAAGTTCCTTTTGAACATAAGTTTGCAAACTTCAAGAAAAACTCACGGAGCTCTTTGACACAGTCGCTCACTAGCTGCTGCTCCTTCTCCTCATAGGTGATGGTGTCTCTTTTGAGTTGACAAGCCTGGATAAGTCAAAAAAGCTCAGTTTGCAGCAGAGATTATACTTCAACATCTGCTTCTGATCAATTTGCTTCCCAAAGAACGACATACCTCGGTTCTCAGTGCCAGATTTTCTTCCTCTAGGTCCTGCAGCTTGCTCTGCAGGGACTCCAGCTGACTAAGTGCAGCAGCGGCGGTTCCCCCCGGCAGGTGAGGTTGCCGCAGTGGGGTCGACACGCTGGAATCGGTCTCGCTCTCCTCAGAGGCGCTGGCCACCATCCGCAGCAATTCATCCTTCTTACTGAGCTCATGTTGCAGCTGATGAACCTGACCAATGTGGACAGTTTAGGAAAAGTGATTGGTGTTTACAGGATTTTAACATTTTAAAGCTCTCTTTTTCTAGAGATACAAAAATCTAACTTTCTTTTTTTTTGGTTGAAGTTTAGTTTAAAGCTGGAAAGTGAATGGAATATTTGTATGTATACAGCAAACATGCATGACTTGTGGCAGAAATACCATTTTATTGAAATAAAATGGTATGTTATTTTGGCTGCAGATGCATTTAAAAAATAGTATATTATTAATGTATATCAAGCATTTTTTGGTCCATGAGATATTCAATTCAATTCAATTTTATTTATATAGTTCTAAATCACAGCAACAGTCACCTCGAGCCGCTTTATATAGTTCGGTAAACACCCTACAGCAATACAGAGAAACCGCAACAATCAGAAGACCCCTATAAGAAAGCACTTGGCAAAAGTGGAAAGGAAAAACTCCGTTTTAAGAGGAAGAAACCTCTGTCAGAACCACGCTCAGGGAGGGGCAGGCATCTACCGCAACTATTAACTAGCTAACTAACTATTAGGAAAAGGTGTACCACAGGGATCTATTTCAGAGCCCCTTTTTATTATTCAAATGTCTAAGTGCTTTAATCTATTTCTCTTTTAAAAACCTATTGCAACAATATCACTAGATCATGCAGACATGTTGAGGAGGTAATTTAGCCTTTAAATCAGCTGTGCTGGATCAAGGACACATCTGAAACCTGCAGGACACCATGCTCTTGAGGCCTGGAGTTCCCTCACCCCTAATTTAAATGATCATACTATCACCCTCTCTTTATGTAGCACAAAACATTATTTACACATTTTAAAGTGAATAAAAACAGTTACCTGATCTACAGACTGTGCTATCTGCTCCTCTAAGGCCTCATTTCGCTCCTGTAGCAGGTGGTTCCTCTGTAGAAGTGACTGACCAATTCGAGCTGCCAACTCCAAATCTCTGTCCCGCTGTTCAAATAGAACACAAGGCACCCAGGGTTAATCAGTTAACTGGCTGTTGTTTTCTTAGCTGAAAAAAATGATCACAAATGAGGTCAACGCCCTACCTCAGCCAAAAGGTGTGTGACCACTTCAATGTCATTGTACGTCTTGGTCATCTGTTCCACTCGATCAGCACTGAGGACTGGCCAGAGGGAAAACGTTAACTTTTAGGCAGCAAACAAGCAAAAACACACACACACACACACATCTAAAAAAAATCTAGAATCCACACTGTGCATCTAAGCAACTCCACACAAACATGAAAATAAAATCAATTACTGGACACGTCTTTAACATGCATGGTCTACTACATAATAAAGAATTCTGACCACAAGCAACATTAGGAGCTACTTGGCTATTATAGCCACATAACATCACCATTCTTTACACTTTTTAGCATCTGATTATGGACGCGTGGTCCAAATTATGTCCACTAAATTGCTAAATGATTATTGCTGGAGCAATATTTATGCAACACGTGCTAGTGGTCTGAATTTAAAAAGAACACTAGCTTTACAAATTAATAACTGTACTACAAGCTGACTACAGTACACAGTACAGTACTACAGTTGGAAGCAGAAGACCTTTACTATGCAAGTCTCTTGTCTTATTGTTTACATGCAAAAAGTGGAGAGGGGCTCCCAATCAGTGGCCTAGGAACGGATCCTAGATCACATCCTAGAAGTGTGTGGCCACACTTTTGACAGAAGCCCCTCTCTCACACTTGAGTTAAATGAAGTTCCAGAGAAGAACAGGCAAGTAGGAAGAGTAGGATACCTTTGGAGAGGCTCTGAGAGCCTGGGTGGGAATAAGAAGGAGGTTCCAAAGCAAGATATGCTAGTGAGAGAGATGCAGAGAGAGAAAAATAGGGGAAAGTTCAGATGGTGTAGAAGTAAACCAGCCAGTTTTAAGACAGATGGAAAAAGAAAGGAAAAGGAAAGAGACAGACACTGGCAGAAAAATGAAAGTTTCAATAAACCAACATCATGTAGAGACATTAGTTTGTTGAGAGTCAGAGAATCTACACATCGATTAGTCTGGTCTGCTTTTAGCACCTGAGTGGGTGTCACCAGCGCTGCACAGTTCAGCGTTCCACCTGTTCAAAGAAAAGTGGCAACCCTAATCAATGAGCCATCTGGTTTCAGCTAGAAGCCCTTTAACAGAGTGATGCGTGTCCCCAACACTCATTTAGAATATTTACTTCTGTTGGTTTGATCAAAAACTTACAACCTTATTACAACTTCTTTGTGCAATCCCAGTTTACTGCTTACAAACACCTACAACTACAATAACAAAGTGTAATCCAAGTACTGTTAACGATAATCTAACCTAAAGAGCGATCGCTTACTATGACACAGCGTTGCACAGATTCACATCGGACTCACTATCTTTTTTTCTGAATAAATGTAGTGTAATAAAACAGTTTCAGCAGGGATTAAAAGTAACAAGCTGAGCTAGGCAGCTGCTCAAATGGATGAGAGCATTCATCCAGTAATCTGAAGCCTACAATGACCTCTGAATCTGGACACTGCACTCCAACAACCAGCGGGTAAAAATAACCTCTGCCCAGCACGGCTATCCTTGTTACAGTTACAGTGCATACATAATGCATATAATGTCTCAAGTTACTGTTCCACACACACAAACTCACAGACAAAAACATACACTAATACCTTTACCTGCTGCTGAAAGCATGCCATCATTGTATGGGTTATGTATGTCCATAGTCTGGCTTGATCATGATCAGATGCTGCATAAATAAATGAAACTGTTTACACCACATGCTGATCGCAGGGTGGGAAAGCAGTGCAGGTTGTATTGACTTATACAAGGCAGTAACTGAACTCTGGCCGCAATAAATTTCATAACAGCAAAGTCCAACCTCTGTTTCATTTTGACATAAATTCATGAACTACAGACACACAACAGGCCAATGGGTGGTCAATGTGTTACTTGTTAAGTAACATGAATCTCCAGAGTCATGGCTGCTTGAACCTTTGGCATCAATAAACTCAACATGTGATTATACAACAAACTCAACTTCAAAATGCAGTGTGAGGAATAAATGGTACAATCATATGGACGCACCAATATGACACCTGGATCAAACTCAAAAAGCTTATCCCTTTTTAAATCAACTCTAGGTCGCTCTATGTTTGCTCCGTCATGAGCCAGCAGAAATGCACAGGTTAATAACTCGAGTTAATAACTCATGCAAAGCTACTGGAATTGAGCATAAGTACCCTTTATTCACAACTTTGTCTTTTCCCAGACAAGAAAGTTTTACGACTCAAATCCTGGAGCGTAAAAACACTCCCAGCTCTTGTTGTCAGGCTTTGAAAAAGAGATGGGACATCATCTCGTCGAGCCAAATGACAAGATCCTCAACAGCCATTAAATTACAGTATAAACTCTTCAAATTTCACAACATGACACTAAAACCAGGATACTTGATACTCGTATAACCATAGTGGAGTACTGAAATATTTCAGCATCAACTGCAAGGTCTAAATATGAATGTCAAAATCAGACCTCTCTAAGTGTTTTCACACATCTTAACATGCCATGCCCCAGCACATGTTATTAATAGGCTGTGTTTAACTTTGCAGAAGTGGAGCAAACAGCACCATGAAACTGAGACTCCTCCAATGTCCAATTTCCTCACATGTGCAACTAAAACACTTCATTCATTACTTGTTGTTTTTTAAGTTACTATTTATTTGAGAAATGCTCAAATTGTTGGTTTGATCAAACATTAATAAAAGGAAATGACGAAACATTCAGTGAACTGAAACAATCAAGATCTGCTCATGTTAAATCAAATAATCTTCAAACGCAGGAAACAAAGCGTTGGCAATTATGAGAAAAACAGGAAGTTTATCCTGTCTCGTTCCAGCATACTGCAACCTGTTTAAATGTAAACACACCATCAGATTTGCCCACTTCCTTTCTAGTAACACACACAGACACTTTGCCCTCTACGCTGTCACGTTTTGCCTGACCTTGCTGACATGCTTACTGAAGCTGCATGCCTGTCTCTCTCTCTTTCTGTCTTTCAGACATGTACTGAGGACTGAGCCCATGCTCACCTTCCACAGGAAACTTATCGTACGCCTCCTCATTGTGAATGTTTAACACTGGCATGTTGTGTCTCCTCTCTGTGCTCTCTTGTCTTCATCCTCTATCTATCCACACCGCCTCTCTTGTTACTGTCCCGTGACTCACTCTGGCTTTGGTTTTGAACTCAGCTGCACTTAACTGTGCTGGATCTTTCTCTCTCTCTCTCTCTCTCTCTCACACACACACACACACACACACCCACACACACAGTGCCACAGTCACACAAGCAAAGACAAACAGACACAATGACGAACGCTGTGCAAAATAATGTCCACACCAAATCCCTGCAACTTTCATTGAACGGCGCCACATAAAAAGAATCCCTCACATGCCTAATGCACTCACACACACACCATCTGCTCGGTTCTGTTGTACAAGGCTTAACCAATCAAAAGGAAGTCTGCAAAAGGAAGCAGCTTTGCAAAAATATACCAAAATGTACACACTTACTCATGTAGCGGAAAGTCTCCTCAGCCAGCATGGGGGAGATGGCGCTGTTCCCGGGACCTTCGTCTGGGGAGCAGCTCGGGGAAACCACCCAGTCCTGACTGTCTGACAGGTACACGGAGCCAGAGCCGACCGAACCGGAGCCCAGTGAGCCGGAGCCATAATTCCTCCCGCTGCTGCCCAGCCCCTCGTCTGGAGGAAGACAGACAAAAAAACTCATCACCAACAGCTGGTGGAGCAACCATTACTGTCATTATTGTTGGGTTTTTTTTAATGTTGTTGTTTGTTTGTTTTTTGTTTTTTTATTAATCTTCTAGTCAATAATAGTTGACTAAGTCTCTGTGTCTCCTATGACAACTGGGACAGGCTGCAGCACCTCCGGGCCCTTGAATTGGATAAATGGAAGGTGGATGGATGGAAAATCTTCTAGTCTAAAATTGTCCATAATGGCAGGCATATGATGAATTCCTTACTTTTTGAGAATTAAACAATAAAAAAGTCAAACAAAAGAGCTGCTCTATCACAACAAGGTGCTTAGGCTGATTTAGAAATAGTATGAGTCCATTGGTGGGCCAGCAGAAGTTCACAGCACTCCTGGCAGTGCGTGCAGAACAAATAGCAGATGGCAGTGTGGAGTCAAGCAGCCCTTCCCATCTTGTGTTTTCCCTAACACCTGGCTCACTGGCCAGCCTGCCCTTGTAGCAGTTCTCGATACCAACTAACTGCTTCTCCAGTGGATTTCCAGTGAGTTGGATGTACTCCAACTGTACCAACTGGGACTGCAGCTCCCCTTTAACCCTAGATAGATCTCCGATTTGAACTAGAGAGATGTTCAATGTCACTAACCGCTCTCTAAGATGGTGCAGATATACTGATTATGCTGTTTAGTTATTTATTCCCCACAAAGCACTTGAAAAATCAATTATTTGCCACAAAAACAGACAAAAAGTGTGTGGGCTGAGGTATTATCATGGCACAATGGCATTCCATTAAGTTGATAAATGAAGAGGGAAGCTTTTATTTTTGCAAAGCTGTGCAGCTCCAGTGAGATTTGCGTGTGGGCTGATGAACAGTGTGTGTGTGTATATTGTCTTGGCTCAGGCACTGTACAAGCCGATGTCCTTCCACTCGAACAAATATGTGGTTTACTAGGACAAACAGAGCTAACTATAGCATCAGGCTTAAAGGCACCACATACTGTACCTCAGGGAGACCTGATACTCACAAAGCAGCATTTAAAAATGTGCACAAAGCTAATCGGTGGCTGTACTGCAGCTTTTGATATATGATATTTATACAGAAGACCATCTCACCCGTCTCCGTGCTCGACTCTTTCTTCTCCACCGCCCGGGGTTTGACTTCAAACATATCCCGTCTTTGGAAAGGGGGAGTGGGGAGGGGAGGCTCTCCCACTCGTGAAAAGAAGAAGCTGGACAGAACACAGGAGCTGCTACTGTCATGACATCACATCCTGTTCCTGTGCTGACAGGGCGGTGTGTCCATACACACCGCTACCTGAAACAGAAGAGAGAAGTGTTAGTGGTCTCACAGATAAAGACGTGACCTCCACAGAGGCTGAATGAGGGGCAATATACATGTCCAGGTAACGTGTGCAGCTGGTAATAAAGCAGACTGACTCATTTCCTTCTTATGCTCTCCATCACACCTGTTTTATAAGATTTAGAGCCACCCACAGTGTTTGATTTTTGAACCACAGATATCGTTTTCAGGCAAGGACAAATCTAAAATAAATGCTAAAATGCTAACGCTAAAAGATTTCTTCTACTTCTACTAAACAAACTAAAGGTGAGGCTCTGAGATTTTGATTGAAGAAATGTTGTGACAATAACTCCACATACAGTTTTTAGGGAGGGGTGACATTGAGCCAGCCCACATCCTGTTGCCTGTCTCTGTATGAACTCTTCCAATGCTTAAAGGGATGACCGAAGGTAGGGCTGTTCCATATAACGATATATATCGGACGACGATATAAAAACGTCTATCGTTTAATTTTACGCTATCGTTTGTTTCGTGATGTCGCAAAATAAACTGTTTACGGCAATATTTTTTCACCGTTTTGATGGTCACTGTAGTGGCTATAT